CTCTCTCCCTCTCTCTCTCTCTCTCCTTCTCTCCCTCTCCCCTCCTCTCTCTCAGTCTCTCTGACACCCGCACAGTGGCGATCCGCAGGACCCCGCCGCCCCGCCCTCCCTGTCGCACGATGAGGCCTCCATGCTTGGCTGCCACATTACCGAGGAGATCAACAGCCTGGAGGATAGCATCCGCGCAGGGCTGGCCTCGACCGCGGCCAGTCGCGATCAGCCCTCGGCCGCGACCGAGCCCGGCCCCGCCGGTGTGGCTTCCCCCCCCAAGACCACGGCCCTCTTCTCCCGGCTCCCGCGCTACCTGTGCGTGCACTTTGCGCGGTTCTACTGGAAGCAGGAGGCCAATATGAAGACCAAGATCCTGCGGGTGCGTACTCGGCTGGCCCCCTCCCCGGGCCTCCCCCATGCCTCCGTGTGCTCAATCTTGGCCCACGCTCTGACACACCGGCCGTGGGTCCTTGTCGGGCCTCCTGACTCCCCCCCCCCCCCCCCGGCCCGCAGAAAGTTACCTTCCCTCTGCACTTGGACTTGCACATGCTCTGCACGGAGGAGCTGCGCGAGCGCCAGTCCGTGGTTCGCCGCTTCCGCGACCAGAAGTCCGAGTCGAGCATGGGCCTGGCCCCGGTGCGCCTGGCGGGCGAGGCCCCGGCCGACAAGGCAGCCGACAGCGACACCCCCATGGCCACCTCCCCTCGCGAGGGGGAGGATGCCCAGCAGGATGCCGCCTCGGCCACTGAGCCGATTTTCCTCGACGAGCATGGGACTCCCGGTAAGTGCACCCCTCCGCCCTGGCACCCTGTAACCCCTCCTGCCTGGGGCCCCTGCTTCTCGCGCGCTGTTCCTTTCCCTGCTCCTGCCTGCCCCTGGCTCCCATGCTGACCTGGCTCTTGCCTGTCCCCCCGCCCCCCCCCCCTCCCGTCACCGTGCAGACCCCTACGCCTGCCCCACTGGCCGGTACGAGCTGAAGGCGGTGGTGGCGCACACCGGTCGCTTCGCCGACCAGGGCCATTACATCGCGTATGTCCGGCTGCCGGAGCTCCAGTCGAATGGGGGTCCGAATGATGCCAAGACCCGCCGGCGCGGGCCCTCCCTCATGGGCAGCAAGGGCGACGGCTGGTGGCGGTGTGATGATGACACCATCCGCCCGGCCGACCCGAATGAGATCGCTCGGTTGGATGGCGGTGGTATGTGGTGCTGCTTTTGCCGGCATCTCTGTGCTTTCCTGCTGCCTCTGGGTGTTTGTGAATGCGCACAAGCACATGCTTGCCTTGGCTGACCTCCCTCGCTGTGTGTGCCTCTTGTCCCCCCTCGCTCCCTCGCTCCCTTGCTCCGCGTGTCTTTGACAGGCGATTGGCCCATCGCCTACCTGTGCCTGTATGCCGCACGTGAGGATGCTTAATCGGCCTTCCCCCTCCGGACTTCCGGTGGCCCGTGCACGAGTGCCCTGGCATTGCTGCTCCATTTTTCCTGTCTCCTGTGAGAGTGAGTCCATATGTGTGTGCCTGTCTCCCATCTCCTTTGCCTTCTTCGATGGACAAGCCCCGGCATAATTGATCTCGAGGGCAGGTGTAGTGCGCGCGCGCGCGCGCGCGTGTGTGTGTGTGTGGATCCCAGGCTCGGACGCGGGGGGCTGCTTTACATGAACATTTGGCTCTGGCCACCTCCGGGGGATGCATTGTCCAAGCAGGCAAGGGCCACGCCAAGGGCCTGCACCGCGGTCAGGGGAAAGCGATAGTCCAGCACCAGGGTTCCGGGAGGAAAGGCCCCAGCGGCTGCTGCCCCAGCCGGCCAGTGAGCCGCTGGCGCCGCGCGGCCGATCTGCAGAATGACATAGTCGGCTTTGGGTAGATGTGGTAGGCAAGGGTCAGAGCGGGGGG